GAGGAGGAGGAGGAGGAGGAGGAGCATTATGACGAGGTCACTTGGGGCCGGGCTTAACTTTCGCCTCTCTCTAACCGCAAGGTTTTTTTTTTAATTCTAGCTAAAGGTTGCCTTCATGTTCCTGTTACTGATGCATGCATATAAATGAATATAAAGAGAAACACATTTAAATTAAAAATTGCAAAATGCCTCTGATGCAACACAAGCTACAAAAGCGATTTGTTCTTTGTGCAGAAGTACAAAGGACGTTTATTAAACTTAAACTGACCTGCCGTACCTTGTAATACCAAAAGCACAGTGGAAAAAAACTGTCAACCACTGCCCCAAGATGCATCTGCTGCACACAGTGGTGATCTGGTGCTGTTTTTGACCTGATTTCACTATAGGAAACAAAGAACCTTGTGCATAAAACTGCTACTGTTGATATTGTGTCCACATTTTTGTACAAAACCACTATTAAGATACTATTTTGTGTAGGAAGCGTGGCTTCTAATGTAGTTAACCCCAGCAACAGCGACCTCTCACTGCCTCCACTGCCTCTCAACATAAAGAAGGAGCAGGAAATCTAAAATGTGATTTTCAAAACCTTTTAAAATTCAAAAACTTAAAATAAAAAGTAATATAATGGAATGTGCTGCACAGGAGTTTGAAATCAGTGGTTTGGATGTGAGACAATCAAGTAATGAGAAGTCATTCCATTATGAGATTTTCTTTTTCTTAGTTTTTATGTTCTAAATGGATAAATTGAACCCAGTCAGTTATATCAGCTCTGAATGACTACTTCCTATATTTGTCAAGCAGCAGCACAGGCTACTTTCATCAGTTAGACAACTTGGTTTCATAAAATGCGTGATGCAGTGTGTGTAGTGTCTCTAGGGTTTTCTGAACTGACTAATAGCTGAGCACCTTCTATAGTCAAACTTCATCAGCAGCTGAGGAGAAAAATGGAGGCCAATTCTGTCTAGATACTGTTCAGCATTCTTGGAAGCTAAACTTACTAAAAAACGTTGTGGGCGGAGACTTTGTTTGTTCCGCGGTTAGAGCAGAGCGCGAAGTTTAGCGCGCCAAGTGGACCTCGCATACATGTCGTCCTGGGCTCCTCCTCCTTCCTCCTCCTCCTCGCCTCTATATCTTTCTGGTGACAGCTGGCTATCAGTGATTGTGATGATGTACTTTTCTTTGGTATTTTGATTGCTAAAAAGTTGTGAGCTTTGTGTATTGTAAGGCTTGTTAGCAGTCCTATAAATGTGAAATTACATACACATGGAATGAGAAGTGATAAGGAGCAGAGGCTGTGTTGTGAGGCGAATAGCAGCACAGAACAAACAGCATCAAAAAACGCACATAGAACATCCTGTCAGAAGGTAGGGCAGTGGGGTGGTGAGAAACCACCTTGTTGAGCTCTGTGCGAGCAACTTTTGACCAAAGCGGGAACTTCAGAAGCGATACGTTGTGTTTTTTTCTTTCTTTTTAGGCTCCGTCCAGTGCAGACTCCGAAAACTCTTTTACTGTCGGGAGTGTTTGATGAGAAACAAACAACCAACTTTTATTAATTCTGCACTCGGAGTTTTTATTTTCTTGACGAGGATATAGGGATAAAATTAAACACACTGTGACAGTTGAAAAATGTAAATATTTGGACAGATTTGATCCATACATTATGATGAATTGTTGAATACAAGAATACAAGATGAATTTGAATGAATAACAAGGTATAAGATGATCAAAGGATGACCTCACTGAGGAAATATGGCCTGGCCTAAAAATCTCATAATAATTTGTTCTTTATTATTTTGACAAATCTTTCTGCTGAAAGCGCAGCATTGTGGTGCAGTAAGCAATGTCTGCCCCGGCACTGATGGTAATCCGAGGCCTCTCATAAAGAATAATGTCATCGACCACAACCAATACCTCCGAGAACATCGCGCGTGGTGTGGGTGGA